CCCACAGCCCCTCCTGGAGATGGTACTAACTTGGGCTCGACGGTGTTATTAATAATACAGGCGCAATGTAATGTTTCAAATATACCATTCAAACATCCCAACTGTTTCCGCTTAAGGCATAGGAAAGTATTTTGAATAAATGCTTCCATTTTGAGACATCTACACAGTATTTATAGAAAGCTTATGAGTCAATGGAATGAGTTATGATGCCAAAATGTACAAAGGAGTGAAAACTTTGGTTGTTATTCTTGCTACCATATGTATAACAACACTTCACAAAAGTCCCCAATGTTTGTGTTGCTAAAACATGGAAGACTGGTTTTGAACATTTTTAAAGGAATGATTCCCGGTAGGCAAAGCGAAATATGGTGTAGAATTAGCTTTAGCACCTTCTCAAAGCAATGCATCATTTGGAAAAAAAAAAGTTATCAGTTATGGATGGAGTCTGAAGTGAGAAGAGGCTGGAATGGGGTCAGCCAAAGTCATCTTCATCTTTAAAGCCAAGTTTAAAGTTTAGATTATCATGCATTGGATTTCACACTCGTTAACTTGGATATAAATTTCAAATAAGAAAAATCCACTCTCCCAATCAGTCAGTACTGTGAAGCCTATCTAAAACGCCATACCTGAGTTCATGAAGTGACACTGCTCTGCAAAACCCATTTTGCGACTTCAGTAACTCAAACTTCCTGGATGGAGTTCAACCCAACTCATCCTACACGAAATCCCACTCTAAAGACAAGCATGTGAGAAGGAGAAGAACCCTTCACCTGTGTGGTGTTCCAGTTATGAAGTCTGAGTTTAATGTCTCCATCTGATACAGGCTCAGTGTTTAGAAATTCAGATTTGTGGCCCATTTGTGGCTCACCCAGCTCTAGAGGATGAGTCGGCAGGCTCAGAAGGAGGAGTAAAAAATGCTTCCTCTTTTTTCCTCCCTCTCTCCCTATCTTCTTATTTCTAAACGCCATGACAGCCCTCGATGTAAAGGAAGTAGCTTTAAAAGAACCAGGTATATTGAAATGAGTAACAGTGCCATACCAGGTGTTTTGCCACCTAAAACAGGTTAGGGAAAGGCAAAAGCAGAGCTGAAAGACACCAAAACAAGAGGAAATAGAAAATGCCAATAAATTCTACGAAGCCCTACTTGTTTCATCTCCAAGTTACAGGGTAGAGAGGGAAACTGAGTTCAGAAAAGGACACACTCAGGGCCTCGAGTGTGTGGGATTTTCTAAATATGCTCTGCAAAAGTAGATCTAGGGCATCTGCTTCCTGCCCCCCTTGCACTCAATAAAAATTAACTTCAATTACAATTCATCTAAAAATCTGTGCTTTCTAAGATCCTATCATTCCATGGAAGTTTGGGGGACTCATATATATGGTTGAGTGGCTGTCTGTATTCAAGGGTCTGTGGCTTCCTGTGCTTGTTGTATAGTATGTGTCTGAAAAGATAGTCATGACATGACCTTAGTATTTATCTTTATTGTGGACTTTTTTTCCAACCACATTTCTTTCCTTAGCAGGGTCAAAGTTCAATGACCTAGATTATTTCTCAAACTGGTCTGTCCTGGCTAGTCTAAATTATCATTACTGGTTTAAAGAGACATATCAAACGCTCCACTAGGCAAAACAAGTGCCTTGGACTTATTCCTATGTAATGCTTTGCCTACAATACAGTCATACAGTGAAAACTGAAGCAGGTAACATTTAGTCTAAACGTTTAACAATTGCTGTGCTAGGAAAGTAAGGGAAAGTAGGACATTGACATTTAAATTGTGTGTGTGTGTGTGTGTGTGTGTGTGTGTGTTCTCGGATAATAGTTGTATTGTGAGATTTGTGTTTATTTTTATTAAGATAGTAAATATATATCCAGGATTTCTAAGCTATTACCATTTATTTTAAAAGCACATATTCTTCATGTTTTACGTAAAAACTACTACAAAAAAATATTTCATTAACACCTCTTATTTAAATACTAATTAATAACTTGGGTAAATGAATACCTTTGCTCTTAAGTTCATGGCTCTATTATCTGTTTATTTTCACACCAGCCTGATTATATAGCAGAACTCTGAAATTCCTCCCAGTACCTACACTTGTTGACAATTTAAAGAATTGGGAAGAATTGGCAAATTATTGGAAAATTAATCTCATAAGAAGTCTGCACCAAATTTATGATCCTAGTACTGGTATTTTGTGGTATTCTGCCAAGCTTCTTAGTTTGAATACAGTTAATTGTCTTCATTTTAGATTTAAGATAACATAATAGGTAGTAGTCAATCTGTTCTTTTTGGTTTTAACAGTCAAGAGGATTTTAGTCTTTGCTTTATTTTAATTACCCAATTAACTTCTTAGTTATACTGCTATCTTGGGATCAAAAACCTGCAAATGATTTTAGGCTTAAAGTTAATAGCAGAAAGAGAATGGAACTCGCCAACTACAATACTGAAAGGGGATGACTAGGCATGAGTTTATTCCAGCTCATATAACAAAAACTTTTAGAAGGTGGGATTGATAGTGTGACACATTAAAGTTCTATTATTAAAATAATTTACAAAAGGCTCCAACTTCCAGGTCGGAAAGTTAACCCTTATCAATCCAAGACTAAACTAGAGTAGTTGGTGATGTTGTTAGCACACTTTGAGTTAACCCATCAAATCACACACAAGTGCTTTAGCATTCATAAGGTTCAAAATAAATTGCTCTAAAAAATAATTTGTCATTTGTTTGACACCTTCCAAACCACTTTGGAAGAATAAAAGGGTATCTACTTTATCCCAGAGAGATGAAAATGGGGGAGGTGAGGGAGGTGTAATGAAAAGATCTTGCATCTTGTGTTGGGGGAAATTAGTGTTTCCAGAGAAACTTTACCATCTATAAAGGCCAGTAAGGAAACTTACGAGTTGGTGCTGAATTATTTCCCACTCTCCAATACTGTGGAGGGACAGAGTTCAAGGTCCCTAGACAAATGGCTGAGTCTTAAAAAACAACACTTTTACAATATTCCTTTCTCTAAATCTTTTCAGAGGACGCAAGACGTCTTCAAAAACCACTGTTTTTACTGTGTGAAGAAGTAACCCCTCCTCTCCAAGCCCTTGGCTTGTCCCACTTTGGGAAGTCTTGTAAAAAGGGTGTTCACATTCACTTGTGAGATAGTGTTTGGAATCTAGGACCGATCAAGGCATCAACAAGTGTTGGACTGGATGCTGGGGTTGGGGTACACCTCGCCGCTGAACTGGAAATGCGGATGGTAAAGGGACAACACTGCTCTCTGCTTGGGTGATGCTCGGGATGCTGGTCTCACTTCCGAGCTGC